CATAACTATGTTACTTATTACATAACTATATTATTGTCTATAACAATGTCTACATAACTGTGTTGTAGAGAGGTCTTGTTGGAATATCTCTAATTTGTTAGCTAAGACTTCCTGCAATTGAGGGGAGAAAAATATCTAGATCTTATTTTTAACTATTCTAAATAAAACACCTATGTCTTACAAGGATTTTTATCATCTTCAGTGATAGGTGGGAGTCTTCCATTAATCTGTATTGGCTGTTCTTGATAGTTGTGGTGTTTATTTCTCAGGATTGTGCATTGGGCTGTAGAGTCAGTTTCTCCTTCTTTGCCTGAGCTAAATGCTGAAGATGGATTTTTAACTGAAACAGATTTAGATTGTAAATAGAAGGGAAATCAACTTTTTAAAAAGTATTTAAGTGTGTTCTGGAATATTTCATATGTAGTTATTAGATATTTTAAAAGATGATAATCAGTTAATACTATAACAGAGAAAGAAGATAGTTTTAAATAGTCTAAACTCAATACACAAAGGTGATACAGATTGAAAAATAATCCTGCTACAAGTCTGTGTCCAACATTTCTTATTTTGAAGCCGAGTTAAACCTCATTTAAGATAATTCCATCGGAAATAGGAGGCCAATATGTCCTTAAGATTTTAGGCATCTTTTATGTATGAGAGAGACTCTTAATCTCTACTGTATTCTGTGGGAAAAGGAATGGAGACCTCAAGATATTTTTGTAACCTTGCTGATCTAGTGCTTATATACAGTGTTACAGTGTATAGGTATTTCAGAGAATGGAAATCCCTTTAGCTTTTGCTACTTTTTCCTATAATCATGTATTTGGAATCCATTTGTCAGGTTTGTAGGGAGACTCAGCTCCTCTCTTGCCTGAAATAAATCTAATCTATTTTCCTCTCGTATTTTAAGTAGGAAATTATTCTTTTTCCTTAGAACCTAAGAAGGATTCTAATTCTTTGCACAGAAGTAATTTGCTAAGGAAGGATTTCCTTATCTGCCTGTCTATTTGCTTAACCAAGAAGATTGAAAGGAACACAAGCAATCCTGATCTATTCTCAGTAGTTATTTGTTTTGCTTCATGTTTGCCTTGATACTAAGCAGCCCTGAGCCATGCAGCATTTGAGCACTTCCCAGTACTTCCATCTGAAAGCAACCCACTGAGAGAGTGAAATATTACCTTCAGCCATGGAATCGATGCACGAGGAAATTACTTATTTAACAATAATTATCACTGAGCCAAGAATTTAACTTTGTCCTTCTCAACCATCTGTTATTGCATAGGGTCTGCACTACAAAAATAGGAGACACTTTATTAAACAGAGAGAAGAAATCTCAGGGAGTTAAATAACTGTTTCTGTAGGCAGAATTAAAGGTTTTTATTTGCATCACCTAAGTAAATTTGCTGATGTGACTAAAACAAAAGATTGGATTTGCAATATTTGTTTGAAATGATACATTTTGTGTTACATAACACAAACTACCCCTCTCTCAGCTGCCATCCATTGTTCTCCTGCCTGCCCTCAGCTCCAGCCCACCCCTCTCTGTCACACTGGAGAAAAGGCAGCAGTGAACACAAAACTTTTTTTCCTGGCTGAACAATTTTTATCCTTTGGCCATTTTGGTTGAACCAAGCCTGCAAATATGGAAGAATATTTTATACTTTGAAGTGTACATTCCACAGAAAAGTCAGTGAGTTTTTGTTATTTGTAGCAGTTTCTGGGTTCCTTCCTGAACAAGATTTAGAAATATCTGAGTGCAATTTCAGCTTTTTAATCTAAATCTCTGTAGTAACTGTTACACCCAGAAGGCTAAACTCGGAATTAGAGACATGGGAGATATAATTTTGAAGTTTTCCTGTTTCCTTTTCCCCCCTCATGTAGGCAGTTTGTAAAACATAGGTTTAATGGTGGTTAGGAGCATAGATATTTTGTTCAGAAGTTGTCAAGTGCTGAAGGATTAGGGAATGCTCAGGAGAATATAATGGCTCAAAAACCTTTTGAAGTATATTTGAATAGCTCTTATGGCATTAAATGACCAGTCAAAAAAATTTCGTGTTCTAGTCACAAAGTTCTTGAAAAGCTCAGGAGGGAAAAACCTGCAGAAGTGCTTTAGTATCACATGAGGGGTTGCAAAGAAAGTAATTTCCTATACCTTAACACTGTTAATTCTTTCAAATCTGGAGGCATTAAAATAATTTTTGGCTGAATTTTAGGAACTATTAGTAATTTTCATTTATTATATATTATGTAGGATATAGAATATTTAAAAGCTGTGACAGGGAAGTTCCTGTGTGGAATTGTGCAGGGAACAATGTGTAAATAGGACAAAACTGTGAGATTAAAATCTCATACTAAGATAGACCTCTCCAAAAACCTGCCTAATTCTGCTTTCACCATGCCATGTTTGTGAGATGTGTTCTCTCCTCCTCCCCTGCAAGCACAGGTAGAGATCATAGAATCATTAAATGGGAAAAGACCCTTTGGATCATCAAGCCCAACTGTAAATCAAGTCCAGCCATCATGTACTTGACATCATGTTCATTATTTAATACCAAGCCAAAGGATTTCAAAACTAATGAGAAATTACTTCATAAAGGGAATATGTTAAAATGTTGCTGTTGTAATGTTGTGTTACCTTGACCAGATTGGATGGTTTCTGTTTTACCCTCTTTAATGGCACTGTACCTCAGAGATTAGTGATACAACTCTTTTCAAAGTTAGGTAGAGAAATAAACTGATTTCTTTTTCAAAGGCAGGCAGTAGCTAAATTGATAATGCCTATACCTTCAATTTCTGCACAAATCACCCTGCTGCTGAAATTGTGAAATCTACTCGAGTGGGAGCAACCGCAATATTTCTCTCTCTTTTATTTTCCCTCACAGTCTGTCCAAGAAAGCATCAAAATTTTTGAGTTGCTGCTATGAAACCAAACCTGCAGCTGCCCCTTCTCATCCTCATGGAGAGGGAGGCTCTGCATTTCACAGAAATGAATCCCAGCATTTCAATTGTTGTTCTGCTGCAGCATTCCATTGTGACTCAGTGGAACACGCACGTGGAACATTTCACAGATGAGCTTTGCTGTAATTCTCCTCTCACTGTTTCAGATTCTGTTGTGTGGTAGGTTTTGTACAGGACACAGGAAACTTTCCATGCACATTGATTCTCTTCGAAAGGAAGGTTCTGAGATGTAAAGTTATCACTTTTCTACAAAACTTTTACACTTAAATCAGAATCATAAGATAATTTAGAGTGGGAGGGATATCTTGAGCTCATCTAGTCCAAAATCCTGCTCACATTTGTATATACATATAATTTCATTAGGGGAGAACAAGAGTTTTACCTCTTTAATTAATGTTTATTACACTTCCATTACCTTTCATTAACACTTTTCAAGAGCAGCAGTTTTCTGGGTGCTGGTATCTCTAGCAGTGTGGATTCCAAAGTGCTGAGCTTATCAGGACCTTAAATGAGCAATATCTGAGTACAGAGCACACAGCTCTGTACAAGCACATGAGGTTGACCCTTCCCATGCTGACACAGCACCCAGAAGTGATGTGATTTCCTTGGGGAAAGTTCCTGAAAGTTCCTGTCTGTGGTGTTTTGCCTGCATTTCAGAAAAAAAGCAGGTAGGATGTGCTAAGAATTAACCCAAAGGCAAGCAATAGATGAAACAAATGTGCTGCTTGGCTGCCAGAGAGCATCTTCTCATGGACCATAACATTAATTCCTAGATAATAAAATGTAGCTGGAGAGTCTCCTCTGGTGTTTATTCAAAAGGAGAACTGGATTCCTCTACTTGCTCTCTGAAGCAAAACCATCAGTGAGTTAAAGATAGCAGAAAAATATTTATAACGTGTTCACATAAGAAAATTCCTGATGTAATTTCACGTCCCATTGTATCAGTCCATTACAGATTTCATTTCACATACTTTTTCCCTACCTGCTAACACAAAATCAAATATGTGCATGACATCAGTGTGTGTGCATTTGCAAAAGCAAGTATCAATAATCTGAATGTAAATATGTTTTTAAACTGTTCCTGCTGTAGGCCCTAGAGGAGGAATGAATACGTGAAATTTCATTCAGTTTTCCAAAACAACTTTTTTTTGAGGCCTTGTTTTTTAAAAAAAACATTAATTTACTAGGAGTTCAATCTTCAGACTTTTAAAGCTTTTTTGAATTCTCTCAGTTTAGGCAAGTGAAACCAGAAGAATCAACTGCTTTTGGAGCTCCTGCAAACCTCAGGGCTTTATATTGCTCTGCAATAGAAACAGTGATAGGAACATCAGACCAGGCTGGAAGAAAGGTTCACTCATATTTGGAAAAACATAATCTCACCTGAGATTATGAGAAACATATAATTTAAACCAGTAGTATCTTGAATAATGATTTTTAAAAATTGCAATCCATTATCATTAATATAATTAAAAAAAAATTGATAGCCAGTAAGATTTGTCAGATACTTCCCTTTTCCAGAATTACAAATAATACTCTTAACTTCCATTGTTTTCAAACACATTTTTAATGCTCCTTGTGTTCCACTGATAATTTATGGATTAAATGATCTCAAAACAAATCATCACTTGAAGTGTCAACCAACATTTTCATGTTGTTTCAGAAAACCTTCATGGGTTTCAGTAGAAAACACATTGTGTGAGTTCCCTACAGCTGTTATATTGGTACTAGTGAAGTATAAATGAAATTGGTGTGAACATAAATATGTTCAGGCTGTGGTTCTTTGATATTAACTATGGAGACATGCAATTTGAATTTTTTTTTTGTTTGACATGTGTATTCTTCACATTATATAAGCATCTTTCTGTTTAAATGGTTTAAAATATGACTGTGTGGTCTCTTCAAATTAATTAGTTTTGGTTTTTTATTTTAGGGTTTAACTTTCTCTTTTCATAATGAAACCTTTTCTTCCTGACTAATTTTAAAGAACAACTTTGAAGGAATTAAGCATGCTGGGTTTATTTATTTATTTTTCTCTTTCCCAGCTGTAGGTATCCAGATGAAACTTGAATTTTTCCAGCGGAAATTTTGGACTGCAAGCAGACAGGTACATTTTAAATTGAAAGTTTTTTTGTCATTGAATCCACAACAGTTTTTTATCTGTGAAAGTGATGATCTTGTCAGAAGCAAAATATTGTAAAGAAACAATGTATTTGAAGACTTGTTCTGGTTTACATTTGGATACAGAAAAGGAGAATTCAGTGATGAAGAGCATTGCTTGATTTTTGGAAGCAAGTTAAAAGTTTATTAATTTTTTGCCCCAATACATAAGGAATTACTTTGTTGGTACATGGTTTTTCTCCCTTAGAGAAAGTGTAAAAAGAAGTGTGGAATTTGTTTCTAGTGAAGGCAGAATCATGACTTCTCACCTAGATTTTCTCTCTAAGTAACTGTAAGATCACACAGGTTAATTAACAAAACTACATTGATGAATCATGGTTGGCACTCAGTGCTCAATAAACTTTACCTAAACCATTCAGGGATGATAGAATTTGTACTCACTGAAGAGGATAATCAGGTACTTTCTGAGGATTAGAAGATGCCATCCCTGGTTTGAGAATCGATTGGAACTGTGCTGTTACAGCAAATACACCCTGACCCCACCCCTGCTGGAGAATCTTCTCTCGTCTATGAATGGCTTCAGAAATGGAGGAGATTGTGGTGTTTAAAGCAGCTGAAATTGTTACAGTGTGAATGAACCCTTTCTCTGCAGAGAGAAACAGAACATATTTGGTGAACAATTCAAAAGTTTGCTAGTCATTTTTAGAATTAATTTAGATAAAGATGTAATCAATATCATCTCCTTTAAAATTTTGCTCGTATGAATTTATATAAAGTTTTATTTTTTAATCATCAAAGAGAGAATTGAAAATACTTTATTGATTTTTTTTATCCTCTGCAGTGTGCATCTCTCGATGGCAGATGTGCTATAAGTTGTGATGATGAAGTAAGTATTTAACAGATTTTTTTCCATTGTATACCTTTACTGCAGTAGAAGACACAGTTGATGAATTTAATTTGAACATCTCATTGTACATTATGATCTTTATCACCTTCTAAATATTACACTGTTTGGATAGGGAGACTTTTTTTTTATGCCTATTACAGGTACCCACTGAATTACAAGGTTGACTCCAGTACCTCAAATATGTGTTGCAATAATTTCTGCTTTGTGAGTCCAGTTTGGGAAATAATTTGAAGCAGTGCTAAGGCATTTGTTTACCACTTTATTGTTAATGGAAAAAAAAAGCCACTAGCACTTTAAAGTCTTCAGCTGGACACCAGCAGGAACCATACGTGTAGAAATTTAGTAATAGTGTGAACATTGCTGATTTAGAGATTCCAGACTTTTTCTTCATGACAAAACACACTTTTGACAGGACTCAAACAAATATCACAGCTTCTCTCTGTTGACTTTCACAGCTTCTCTCAATGGCAAGAAAATGTCTGCTGAACATTTACAGTATAAATTAAAGCATTTAAAAGTAAACATGAAGACATTAATGCAAATTGGATGGCACAATAGTCAATAAATATTAATGACTATTAATAATAATATGGTAATTGTAGGTATAATTAAAAATAAAGGGAGTCAAGTGATGAGTCTATGATACCTTTGATCCTAAAATAGAGACAACCAATTAATTAAAAATACTTTTTTTTTTTTTCTTGAGAGCTTTGAATTTGCTCATTTATTCTTGTTTTCCTGATGCCTCGCGTTTTATTTGCATGTTCTGTTTTCTTTCTATTTCATTTTTGGGTTTTTAACCCACATTACATTCCATTACTGTTATTGTATCCTGGAGCTGTGAAAAATACATAGAGGACTTGAACTGCATCAAAGTTTCTGTAGTTCAGATGTGTTCTCAGACCTCAGTTAACATTCTTGCTGTGTTTATTCTGGACTTCATGCCTACAGTTTTACAAGCTCAGGGACTCTCCACCTATGGAATGTTCCCTTGAAATCTGAAATTCACTGAACTTGAACCTTTGGGCAAACCTGAGCATAGTTCACTTCCAATACCTGTGAAACATTTTGAATTAGAGCTTTTTTATACAGCTGTAGTCTATGCAAATGCTCTTATCCAATACATAAAACTTGTATCAGAAATCTGACATTTGCTAGTAATGAGTAAATGCATTCTGCTGCCCTTTGTCCATGCTAAAGTTAAATTACAAGCTGTTTCTTTCACACAGTAGTAATACTGGAAGTTATTTATCTTGCTGGCAAGGGGTGAATGAATGGTTCTGAATGAATATTTTTTTTTCCTAGTTAATATTTCTAAAATGGATTGAAATAGAAATCGTCTTATCTTCACATTCCACAAAAAAGATATAGATTCCATTTATTGCATTATACCTGTTATAACAGTGCTAAAAATTGGTATCTTTTATCGTTCTGAACTGTGCTAGTGAATAACCAAATCTTAGAGATGTGAGACATGGCTACTAATTCTTGAATTGAGCCAGTCTTTTCCCAACAGCACATAAACCATAAACTATGAAATTAAGCCTACACTTTTTCTTGTCCAGCATGACTTCTTTTATTTATTTTCTATACTATGGAGAAATATTGTTCCTAAAGCAGTATCTTTAGATTAATCTTTCATGCATGAAGACTGCAAATATGTATCCCCAAAAGACCTCAGTGTTGCCTTAGCTCCTCTCCTGGGGCAGTCAGTGGGAGGTTTCAGGCTGGCTTTGGGGAGAGCAGAGCTGTGCAGTTGGAGCCTGAATCTGAAATTCCATCCCTCACACACCACTGGGCTCAGGGAGCTGCCTCTTCTGAGTGCATCAGCTCTGCTCAGCTCCTGCCCAGCACCATCAGCTTTTCCCATTGCATTTCCCAGCTTTGGGCTTTCTAGCAGATCAAAGGTTGCAAATGAGTTGTTTCAGCTTCCTTTCTGACAGGTTTTCTGTCACTGGGCTTGCCTGTAGCTTGGGTTTTCCTTTTAGAATGAATGTCCTGCATTTGCATTAGGGAATGATGTTCATTCTCAACTTTTGCCTGGTTTCAGCTTCAGCTTTTTTTAAAACCTCCACTTCAAGCTAGCATTTCTGCAAGTTTCTCCTCTTTGGCCCCACAGGACAGTGCTAATATGTGGCTAGAATGAGAATCAGGCACATGTGAGCATCTCTGGAAACATCAGGCTGCATTTTCACATCTTGCACACTGCTACTGCACGGGGCTGCTTTCCCCCCTAAACCAGCACAGTGATCTTGCTGGATGTGCAGAGTGTAGCAGAAAGCATATTTTGTCATATTTCTGTAAAAATTTCCCCATTTGCTGCAGGAAAGGTTTTGAATCAAAAACAAAGCCAGGAGGATTCCTGTATTGAAAGCCATTCTGCTTATTTTTTCCTTTTATACAAATGTCATGGAAAATTCAATAAGCAAAGATAAAAATGTTGCTGATTTCAACCAACAATAGAAATACAATAAAGATTTAACACTGAGATAGTTATTTGGCAATCCTGAGGAGAAACCGAGTTATATCAAGGTTTCAGGGTTTGAGTTAAACCTCATGTTGAAACTCTGAAGTGCAGTAATTAAAACTTTGCCTGTAGCAAGTAGTTCTGTGAGGTTAAAATGGTGCACGTGTGTGTGGAGGGAAGCTCTGATTTGGCTTTACCTTGTTTTATACAGTTCAGACGTCTGACCTACCAAGAGCTAACAGTCCTGCCTCTAAACCCAGTTCCCAATTAAAAATACAATTTGAAAAGCTTTAGGAGACCTGTGGGGCCTCTTTTACAGAAGTTTCTGGCCCCATCCCCCAATGAACAAATTAAAAAATACTGCCTGGTCCCCTGTTGGTTCTGCAGGCTGACACTGTGTTTTCATTAGTACATCGTTAGGGTAATGACATTGTGCTGATGTTTTTCTCCAAATACAGGAGGAGCCATCAGGAACACTGAAGTTCTCTGCCTTTGCAGACTTTGCCATAAGGAAAACTTTTAAGAAGGGATTATGAAACCACAAAATTTTGGGTTTTATGTTTGTTTGTAATTACATTATATCCTCCCATTCTGTACACATCTTTGTTTAGTTTTGCATGAAAAAAGCATACAAATTAAATTGGATAATATCCAAGAACCAAGACTACACTCATTTTGAATTTATGTAAAACCTTCTAAAAACCTGACATTTTTACCCATTTAGAATTGACTTAGAACTAAAGTATATAATTACCTTATTGCTGTGTCCTAAAATCAAAAATTAAAATAGTACTTTATTATTTTTCAGACAATCAACTGTTACCTAATAGATAACAATGGATTTATTTTAGTGTCTGAAGATTATCAACAGGTAAGTGTAAGATTTTTCTTGAGTCTTCTGATGTAACATATTAATCTAAAATTAGTTTTCTTAAAATAGGCCACCATCTGAAAATGGTAAGGAATTAGCAACATTAAAAAAAATCCTTCTACAAAGAATGTAAGCTTTATTCTCACTGGAGCTCAGTTTCTTTCTCCCATTGGAGCAGGGTCTGTTCTTAAACTCATAAATGTTCTCTTTAAAGACCTTTCTTCCTGAAGAAGTGTCTGTCTCCTGTAAGAGGGTTTTACTCCAAGAAAAAAAACTTCCTGTGCCATTTTTGTCACATGGAAACATTGGGAAGGGAGAGGGGGAGGACACAGAGCTGTTACATTCAAACTTAAGATAATGAGATTTTACAGAGCTGTTGGCTGAGGAGTTTGTTTTCTGAAGGGGATTACAGTCATTGAAGGATTAAAATTAAGCACTCAGCATCACAATGGAGAGGACAAGAAATATGATTATCACAGAATCATAGTTGCTCAATCCTGCAAACCTTGTGAAGGAACCATCACCATTCTCATTAACCTGTGCCTGAAAACTGCTGGGATGGTCCCCCGGCAGTTTTCATGCCAGGATTATCTGAAGTTGAATTGGTTTTATGTGTTGGGACTGTGAATAGGAATAGCCACACTCCTACTTAACCCTCAGCTGAATTAAATTTGTTATGGTGAGCATGACCTAAGAAATACACTCATTATGGAATGATCTTGATACACTGAAAACCTGTTTGTCTCTTTCCCCTTTAGTTGTTGGTGCTATTTACAGATGCACTGCTGTGACTTGTGCCAGTGGTTGGCCAGCTCATAGCTGGCTATGGCCAGTGATGATTAGGAAGAGTTTTGGTACTCACCTGATAAAAGCCATTTCTGTTTCTGTGAATAGTTTGGACAACTGTTGCACCAGAAATGTGGAAATGTATTCTGACCTGTTTTATTTGTTAAATGTATCCAGGTCAAAGAGGGGCAGCAGAGAAGTCTCTATGTTTATGTAAATTTATAATAAGATTACATTAGTGTATGTCTATTTTATATATAGTCTGTATACAGGCTGTTGTAGGTAGAGAAGGGATAGAAAAGTGGGATGATGCCTTACTAATTCTTGATCTATCTGGGGTTCCTTCAGCACTGTTTTTCTATCTATCAGCTTGCCAAACATGACCTGAACTGCTCCAAGAATCAGGTTTGTGGAGCAGAGTAATTCTTCTGAATTGCAACTAAATCCTGATGTATTAAAAAAATGATAACCTGAGTGTAACTGCTTGGGGGAGAGCTGGCATTTACAAAGGGAGCTTTTGTGGAGAGAACTGTCACTGAAATGTCTTCATAAGGCTGGTGCACAAGTTGACAAATCAGGTTTCTTGCTATCTAAGGTTGTAGGAGGCATTTATGGTTTGGAGTTTCTCGACGTTGCCTGCCTCTCCAATCGTTAGGGTAATCTTTCTTCATCAGTCAGCCAGGGCTATTGAAGCTGGTATTTTTAGTCATGTTCCTTGTGTTTCTAGGAGATTTTACATACCCATATGTTTTGGAAAATGTTCCAAGGTTCCCCTGAGGAAAGGAAGGGGGAAAAAAAGGCAATACTTGCCTTTTAGGTGGAGGAATGCCTTTTTTTAGCTAGGGCTGTAACTTTTCTGCCTGCCAACTCCCAGGTGCATACTTGAGGTCAGCTAAGTTCCTTGTAATGGAATTGGGGTTTAGTTCATACAAAACCCATGGAATCCATGCAATTTGAGAGTGTAGTGCCCTTTCCCCCTCATAAATTGTGGGATTTCTCCCTTTAAACAATGAAGAGAAATATCCAATCCTCCTGGGAGCTGAGGCTCTAAAATAAAACAGGTCTTCCCAAGGTAGAAAAGTGCTGTACTTGCAAGATTTTCCACTGTCACATGAATGGCTGCAGATGACGGAGTCACTTCCATCTTGCTGACCAAATTTATAACAGCAATGTTTGTTTTCTCAACAGAGATTTATTTTTATTAGTCCACAAGTACTGAATAGGGACAAAATGAGTAATTCATCAAGCTGAGTGGTTTTAAGTATGAAATGACTCTGAATGGAGTTAAAATTTATAGGATTGATGAAATGTACTGTTCCAGCTCCTTAAACAGGTCATACAGGAATTATAAACAATGTTTTTTAATGACTGCTTATGAAATCCTCTCACAACCTGTTTATATCTTTTTTGAGTAACATTTTAATCACGAGAGTTTGGATCAGATTAGTGTGTTTTCTTTACAAGCTTTAGATTTGGAAGGCTTTTATTTTTGATATTGAATGTTATATAATGTACCTCAATATATTGTTTAAGCTCTCACATCTGCTCAGGGGCAATAATATAATCCCAACAATTTGCCCTGACTGGGAAGTCCTCTTCAGGCTTTATGTAGCAGCAGTCCTGAAAACCTGTCTCTGTAGCTGTCAAAGCCACTCTTGCCAGATCCTGAATATGGCACTTGAAACTGCATCCAGTGTTGTTTTGTATTTATCTACACTTTTGGTAATTCCTTGCATTTTCCCCTTACAGACTGGTTACTTTTTTGGGGAGGTTGAAGGGGCTGTGATGAACAAGTTACTAACAATGGGCTCTTTTAAGAGGTAAGAATTAACATTTTATCTCTTAAAAAATGTTCTAACAAAAAAATCAAAGTCATGTAGAAGAAAGCCAAGACTGGCAGCGTGGCTGGATTCTCATCTATACCTCTGTATCTTTTCTATACAACCTGAGTGTAATTTGATTCCATACACATCAAATATTGAGAGTATTAGAGTCAGCCTAAAGTGAGTTTCTTATTTAACAATGGTTTATTTGACTGCAATGCTAAAACTGTGTCCTTTTCCTCTTCCCACTGGGCTCAGGTGGAAAAGGAATTGGGCCATATCCACTACTGAGCAGTTTTAAAAAGCTCTAAAGCAAAACATTTATGCCACGTTATCATTTTGACCTATAAAAAGTTGGAGATTGCTCGAGCTAGACAGTGCAAAATGTCCTGCTATTGAAGGGAAAATGTGTTCTCCCAGTAATCCATCTCCATTCACATGCTAACTTACCTTTGAACGTGGTTGTCACTATTGATCTGATCTCACTATCATGATGACATTAAAAACTAACAGTGATTTTGTGTTGTCCTTTGAAATAAATTATGCACTCTGAGGAATTAAGAATAAAATTTCCCTTTTACCTCTAACTCACCACTGGAATCTTCATGGCTTTCATGAGGTCTAAGAATTGTTCATGTGGTCAGAGCTGTTTTGTACCCCTTTGTCCTCTTCAGCACAAGAAAACTCCTTTTATACTTTTCCTTTTCATTTTCCTATGCATTTCTAGTATGAATAAAAAGACATATCACTGCTGCCATCCATCACTGAGTTTAGCTTCTACCTGTGAGGGTGTGTGCAGAGCCTCTCTGAATCTCTCTGGTTTGTGGGCTTGCTTGGTAAATCAGCTCCCTTAAGCTGTGCCTGTGCATGGCAGCTGAGTACCACTCCCAGGAAAAGACTGACCTGAAATGTGAGCATCTAGCACTCATGGAATCACCCATCCCCAGTCCTAGTTTTCCAAGGGTGGTGACTTTTTTTCATTCAGCACTATATATTTAACATATGCTGTGAAGGAAGTGAAGTAATACCACTGTTTATAGACTGGATTTGGCAATGAAAGGATCTGTTTGGACAAGAGATGAAGCATTTTATTTAATGCAAAGGACAAAATACAGTCAAAACCAAGGGATAATTCTTTAACTTGTCCCAGTTTGTTTAGTCCTGCCCAACAAGGCATTTCAAACAGAGCATCTACTCAGTGATGGGTACCACCATTGAGAAAACAGGCTTAGCTTGAGAGCTCCTTGTAAAATGCAGTGGGTGATCTTTGGACTGGACCATTGGTTAGGATTTTGCTGGTCTTGTACTTCATGATTAGAGATAATGAAGGCATAAGGTCAGTGCAACTGAGCTGCATGCTAAGGAAAATGTAAACACAATGAGCCAATTATTCAACCATGATAAACTGACCATTGCAAATCAGTTAAAGATGGGATAGAATCAAAGTGGAGTAATTGCAAGTGAGCAATTTTCCCGACAACAGATAGCAGCAGCAAAAATAACCCCAACAAACTGTCTTTGAGCTGTTTAGATGAAGCCTTTAAATAAATTATTCCAAGAATGTGAAGAAGACATCTTCACTGGTTCTCACAAAAAATAGATACATTCACAATATTTGTAAGATTATTAATTTGTCTGGGTGGGGATTGTGTTTTGCTTTTCCAACATTTATTTATATGGAATAAGAAGGAAATAAAAAGGGTGCTTGGTTCAGTGGCAAGATCTGTCAGCAGCACCACTTCCCTGAGAGCACCAAGTGGGCCTTGCACACATTATATTGTCATTGCTGCTCTCACCACGGGGGCAGAGCTGAGAGAGAGCTCTGCCATTGCATTTCCTTCTGAAAATGCCCAGAGCCATCCTTCCCTGCAATTGCTTCCTACACGGCATGTACAGTCCAGCAGGTGAATGTTATAACCCTGCCCTGCTGGAGCTGGTGTGCTCCCTTTGGGCTGAGTTTAGAAGGCTCTGTGCAGCCTGATGTGCCCTGCAGAAGATTTGCTGCCAGCCCCAGCAGCCGTGGGGTTCCCTCTTCCTCCAGTGCACAGATCCCAGTGGCAGTGCCAGGGTGTGCTCCCACCTCGTGATTCCTGCCAGCTTCCAGCCTCTGCACCCACAAAGGGAATGAAACAACTCTCTGTCTGCTCTCCCTGCTACTGCACATTTGGAGTGATATAGAAGTGCTCTGTAGGATTGAGATGGAAGTGCTAAACAAAAGGGGGGTTTTTGCTGCTGACTGTATTTCTTTTCAACCTGCAGCAGGATGAAATTCAATTTTTATGTTCGCTGTTTATTTTTTAAAGTGAACTTAAATACCTCCTTCCCTCCTCAATTTCTTTAAACTCAGTACTTCTTTTGAATAATGTGTGCATATGTATGTATGTATATTTTCTTAGTTTATGGGGTTTATAGTTAGGGAGAAAAACTATATCAGTGCCTGCACAGCAACGTGACATGCTCTATGATTTCATTTAGTAAAATTATGTTTATCTTATACCTTAAGTATTGCACACAGTTAAATAATTTAAATATGATTTAAATGTATTATTAAATAAATTAGGATGTGCTTATGGAAAAGTATCTGCTTCACATAACTTAGAAAAGTTTCTTTATGTTTTTCTCAGCACTTTGTTTATATAAAAACAGTGAAAAAAAAAAATTCCAACAGCTCAAACCATGAAAATCTAAAAACCAACACTAACATCAGGAAAATTAAGGGCTATCAAAGCAATGAGATCCCTAAAGAAATAAGCATAATAAATCTCTAAGAGAAAATGAAACATCTCTTGACTTCCAAACACTTTCACCCTTTCCAGCAGGAGGAAAACGAAGCAATTCTATATGAAAAATATGGAAGCAGCATCATTTCCTCTTGCAGTTCTCTTTCCAGCAGGCATCCTCTTACACACAAGAGTCTATGCATTGGTATTTGGCATTTAGTAATTTTGTAATTTTGGTATTTGTCAGTATTGGCATTTGACCAGTTTGTCAGGAAGTAGGACTGAAGTGGCACACCCCTGAAATGCAGCTTTCCCAGGAGCTAAGGCTCAGTCTATCAAGTTCTTGCTGCTCTGAGAGCTTCTGTTGTTTCCCAATTTTTCTTGTTGTGCAGATCCTTCACCTGTGCTCTCCTCATGCACCAAGAGGCAGAATTTCATCTGTCTTGATTTGCTTTATAAGCAAAACCTAGCAAGTGCTTTTTTCCCCAGGTTATGAGAATAAAAGAAATTCAGAACTTTGTTCTTCTTCAAGAAAGTTTAGTAAATTCTTAAATCCAAATCATGAGAACAGTAACTCATTGCTTAACAACAGGACACAGTTTTCACTGATGCAGCACAGCCTCCAAATGAAGTATATTTTTCTATTTTGGCCAATTTTTAATATTTAAGCATTTTATTAAGATATTCTTAATATCTTAATATTCCCCCTTTTGTGCTAAATTCACACTAACATTTAAAATTTGTGTTTATTTTAATGTGGATTTTTACAGTCATGGATTTAGCTGCCTATTAATTGGGCAAATAGTACATGTATGCTTTGGAGAAGATCAGACATAGACTGAAGGAACATTCCAAATTGCAGCTGTTGGACTTGGCATTGGACAAATTGTCATTACCAACAAGGTTTAATTTTTATTTCAGTATTTACTAAGTGTGCATCTGGTACCTGCACACTGAAACTCCCACATTGCTGTGGGGTATCTTTTCTGCTCATATTTTAATCCTGTGATATCTAAAATTAATGTCTTTAATCTGACTTTTAGGCATTGTTTGACTTTGTCTCTGTAAATATTACTTTTAAGGCAGTGTATTCATATACAGAATCAGTTTATACACTTAAAGAGAAACACAGGCATATTTGTTACATAACCTAGTTCTCATTCCATATTCTGTAAGTACAGGCTGAGTTGTGGTTTTTATACATGTTAGTCCTTGAGAACACTGGCAATTGGGAATAGCTGAGCAATGAAAGCAAAGATATGTGATGACGAGTTTGTTTTGTCAAAGTGCTGTAATTTAGTTTAATTCTTCCCACTGATTTTGGTGAGAGGTATTACCCTGGCAGCTTCTGGACACCAATAATCTGCCAGTGCAGGTGTGAGAGGCAGAGCAGCAGCAGTCTGGGGTTTCCTACAGTGTCCTGCTGTCTCCCCACAGGAGCCTCTCTAGGCTTAGGAACTGCTTTGCTTTTCACACCATTCAGCACTGTCCCTCTTTCCCTTCCTTGTGACAATGCCCACAGGCTGCACACCTTAGGTCTGAGTTATGAACACCTTTCCACCACAATCTAGCTGTAGTCATCACTAATTTTTCCACAGACTCCTGAATAAAGCATAGGGTCAATAATTAGGACTTCTGTATTATTGGCTTCCTTTGTTCAGGTCTTTAAAGCATTTTTTTTTCCTATAGACTGGATGTTCACTTCCATGTAAAAAACTTATTATTCCTACACATTATTTGAAACTCACCAAATCTTGAACCGCTGACAAAACATTTGAAATTTTATGCATTGAAGACCTTTCAGCTGCTACAATTGTCATTGGTGGTATTTTATACTACACCAAGTAGAAATCCATGGGTGTGATGAAAACCTGGCTGAAAGCAATAGAGAGTGCATCTGCCAATATATCCTGTGCTGCTGGTAGGTCTTGGAAGTTTAATTTTCTTGAACCAGATTCATACTCAATTGTAAGTCCATTGCAAAGTAGGAGAGTGGAATTTACTGTATCAGGAAATTGACAATAAAAGGGTTTTCAGTAAGATGTGTTTGGCTGCTGAAGTTACATAAATGGACAATGCACATTTTGGTTGTGCTTAATAGCTGATGCTGACCACAATTGCTCTGTGGACTTCAGGTGTGGAGGGTGACAGCATGGTGGTTTCAGAAAGTCTCAGGAATGTCCTCTGTAGCAAGAGCAGAGCTCCCCTGGGAGCTGCTGTGATTCAGAACATGCATTTGGGCACACATGGCACACACACGTGGGCTTAGGAAATTGTGTTCCCTCACTATTATCAGCTGGTCAGCATGGTCACAGCAGGGTCAGCTGCAAACAGTTACTTAAAGCTGAAATACAATCACTTCAGAAAGGGTGCTCTGGAAGACTTTCTTCTGCAACACTGGGTTAAGTCTTTCTGAGTGAGAACAACATCTATTTTCTAAAATCTCAGAAAGACTTGAGCAGTAAAACAACACCTGGAAATGACACTTGAGCACAGGAGCACCACAGCATCGTAGGCAACTGCTTTGAGTGCAAATGCTCTGCTGCCTTTTATAAGGAATAGGGCTGGAAGGCTTTTTCTTCCCTATTATAAGAATAAAACCAAAACAACTGGATTTGAAATAGTGAATGCCTTGGAACCCTTATAATTCCATCCATAGTGACAGAGAATCAGGAACTGGTTCAGTATGTTGCAGTGTTCAGATTTCAACGTGGTTTTCAGCTTCATGCACTGATCTTTGAAGTGTATTACAAAATTCTTATTTGTTTCCAGGTCTTTTAAGAACATTTTGCAGTAATGCTTTCACTGATATATTTTGCACATCCTGTGCTATGATTGTCTGAATCATCTTTAGAAACTTTGAGCTAGGTGTTCAACAGCCCACTTTGAAAGTTACTGAGACAGCAAATGCATTGTTTTAAAGCTGAAACTTCTTCCAGACTTTTGTTCAGAAAGCTATGTACCTTTCTGAGCATTTGCTCCTTTTGTTTCTTTTTGGTTTTCCTTTTTTTAAACCCAGATACATTGGCTGATTTCTCATTTTTCCTGAACCAGAACCTTCACACTGGAAGATTGAAATATATTTGCTCAAACTAAACTCATCTAACTAAAACCAATATCATCCACAGATGATATCAAACCTTTCCAAGTTTTGTAGTGATCCACATGATTTTGAGGTTGTTCATTAAAACTCTTTCCTTCTGCCATCACTCTAAAATTTATCAATTTTTTCCCTGTTAAATGAAGAGTGTTCTAAGTACATTATTTACTGGTTTTCTTTCCCTTAATCGTAGTGCAATCTTAGATTGCTGAATACTCCCTGTAATAACATAAGACAATCTACAATAAATATAACCTAGCATGGGGTTTAGTATTAATCATATTTCTGGTTATTTTTGGGAGTACATATTTCCATCTTTTAATACATTTTTATCTTTGAGCATTTAAAGAAACTATTGACTTTATCAGAATGCAATAATTACATAAGAAATGTAATCCAGGTTCAAATACTGAGGGGGGAAAGGCTTTTATCAATATCAAAAATTAAGTTCCAATTAAAATAGAACTTTCACATGACATATAGTAGTATATATGTTCTATTTATAGTATAGAATGGTATAACAGTGCATATATATATACTAGGATATATATAATAGTATTATAATAATAGCAGCTGATTACACTGCTTAGCAAAATAATGAAGTCCACTGGTTGACCATGAAGTTTTGCTGTCTGAAACTCAAAGTTGAGACACTGATTACACTTTCAAACATGGAACCAAGCTTAATAAATATGTTGAAAAAAAATTTACAATGAATAGAGGCAAAACCATGTATTCTGCTTCTCAGGCTAGATATTAAATGAAGCAAGATGAGAGTCTTTCATCCATATGGAAATCCATATGGAATTTCTTGATACTCGGCACAGAGCACATGAACACCTGTAAACTGCCCTTTTCTATGCATTTATCTCTTGCCTCCATCACTGGGTGGTCCAGGTGCACACACAGCACCACCGTGCTTGGATCCCAAAGAATTAAATAGTGGATAAGGCTGAGCTCTAGAAATTCCTTTCCAGGGGCTGGATCCTGAGCATGGCTAAAGGCTGAAGAAGAAGGAAGGGAAAAGGCAGGGGAAGTGGTGTATTTCTGCATGCCACAGAGGCAGCACAGCTTACACGGTGTACTGCTCTGTTTGTCTTGGCAGATCTGGGTGCGCGGATCTGGCCGTGGGCGGGATGCTGCCAAGGATGGTCAGTGTGCGACTCACACCATGTTTAGGTCTCTAGTTATGTTTTGTCTCCCATGTGCCTCTCTCTGCCAGTCCACACAACAATGCCTTCCTAGGCATTGCTATTCTCAGCAAAAGAGAAAAACAATGATGTAAGCAGTATGACCATGTGCTAAATGTTCAGCTGAAGCTGCGACATCCAATATGTTAGAGATTTTGTCTGTAAGCCAGAAAGAAAATATAGACATAATAAAGAAGCTTTTAGTGATGATTGCTGTCACAAAATTAGATCAGAAAAAAAAAATAAATATAGTCTCTTCCACAATGGAATACAACATTTTATTGGTACAGCTTGCAAGGTTTCATGGCATGCAGTGCAGGATGCCTCGTGGTGATGCTGAGTGCATTTCATGACCTGGTTTTGGCAGCTTCTGGGACTTTCTCTGTGTAGCTGAATTTGTGTGCTTTTCTTTCCTCTCCACTTAGAAGCAAGGCACACATTGCAAAACATTTTAGTCCCATCTCATATCTCTATTAACCATCTCTGTCCAGTTGTGTTCCCTTGTCCCTCTGATGATGCACAAGTCAAATGGAAATGTTTCAAAGAACAATAGTGAGTTCTATATATTTACACTTGTTGCAAATTATCAGTTAAAGATTCTTTACATCTGCTACAGATTTTAAATGTTTTGTTTATGGATGGAAAAAGTTTATTGATTGTTCTACGGACAGACAGATTTAGAGAAATAATCACAATGATTCCATGTACTAGCTCTGAGTTCTGGATTCTACATTTAGATCTCTGAAGTGTTTCAATGATGAGTAAGATTGCAAGCATAAGTAAATTTCCCTGTTTACTATGCATCTGAGGAGGCTTCTAGCATAAGTTGATTACAGCAAGTATCTGGAATATTTTGCCTTCATGAAAATAAGCAAAGGTAAACCCATCCTGCTTCAAGTATCTGTACTGTCAATGCACTGAAATTCCACCTCTGTCTCCTTCAGAAGCAATGCCATTTTCAAAGCAGTTGTGCACTGAGATGCTGGGACTGTAGAAGAGCATTTCTGCTTTTACTGAAGTTTGAGTGGTCGGTTGTGAGAAGCCTCTCAAATGCATAGGCTCTGTCACTTTCTGGGGCTCAATGTGCTGATCTTAGTCCAGAACCAATTGTTTATGCATTGTGTTGGATGTGTATTCTCCTCCTCCCGACATTGTTTATGCCATTGTGTGTTACACTCTCTGCATATCTTCCCTGGTTCCTCCCAATTATGCTTTTGCTTTGTTCTGTAGTCTGCTAAAATCCTTACAAAATTTTCACAGCATTTCTTACACTCTTCCATATAACCTGTATTTTAACGATCCCATTCCCTCTTTCCCCCCCAGCTGTTACAATTTTTATTTTCCTGTCCACTTAGTGAGCAGAATGTTCCATATCATCATTTTTATTCCACTGTGTTTTCTTCTTTTAGTCAAGCAGTTTTCTGTTCTTCCCTGTAGAATTACCCTTTATGACTACCAGGCCATGTGTAGGACAAACAAAGAGAGTAGCGACAGTGCCCATAGCTTACTGGACGTAAGTACAGCACCTCTCATGAGCATCTTTCCATGCCACCATCAAAGAAAATTGCTGCAAATATCTCAGGGCCATTGTAAGACTGTTATTTTGATTTGGAATGCTTACAGCTCTCGTGTTTGTCCCAGAGCATACAAAGGGTGGTTCCTTATAAGCGAACACAAAGTGTTCTGGTTTTTTGAGTTCAATCATTTTAATGCTGGGCCACCATTTCTGAGGTTCTGTCAGAAAGTTCTTTGCACTGTATGAATTTGCCTTCTTAGGAATTTGTAAATTTGGCAATGGGTTGTGTTTTGTCTGAGGGACTGAAATCACATATGCCTTTTCTGTATGTAAACATGTAATTCAAATTAAATTTTAAGATTTTTTTATACAAAAGGAATAGTTCATTGACAAGGCATGCAAGTCAGTGATTTTAACAATTCCTTTTTCCTAGTATTTAGACATGTCTTTTAAAGTAGAATTTTGATGCATTTAAACCCTTGTGTTGCAATTTGAGTACAAACCCTGTCCCTCTGCCAGGCTGGGTTAGAGACAACCTGGGTCTTGCCAAGGCAACGCTTCCTTATTGCTGAATCCTCTATCAGGGTAATAATCCCAAGGATACTTTGTGACCATGCATCCATTTTACTGATTGCTGTAATAATCTATCAGAACTGATCAGGTGTTAGATAGAGGTTTTGCATATTAAAAAGGAACTATTTTCACAAAGCAATGACAATAATAGCACAAAAAAACTCTTAAGTAAAGAGAACAGCAGCAAAACATTGGCAATTTTGCCAGTCTGGAAAATTTACCTGATGTTATTTATTTTTAAATGCACATCTAACTAGAAAAAACAAAAAAAAAACACCCTTTAATAATTTTGTACATTTGGGGATGTTTTCATTTAGGTATTTACAGTATTCTGTTTTTCATATACCTGGACTTATGGCATATATCAGTTTTTTATCCACTAAAGTCTGAACCCTGAAAAAGACCATCTTCCCATCATAAATACTAGACTGCAATGAGACCTAAACTATTAGTGAAATAGAACAGGCTGCTGTGAAACACATTTGCATGAAATACCTTAAAATATATTACAGCTCTTAACAAAAAGCTTCTATCCAAAGACTTGGGACTTCAGTTCAGTTTGCCTAAGCACTCAGCATGTAGAGCTGAGGCATTATCCCTTAAAAAGTGGGCTCTAATCCAAAAGGAGTTTTTTTGTTATTCCAAATTTTGTCCAGGATATCCAGGAAAAAAGCCCCTGTATTTGTTATGGGATACACTCAGACATGTCAAGGATTTTTTTTATTTAAACATAGTCAGGATTTTTAAACCTCAAGAGAGTTTTGGTGATCCTCAGTATGAAAGATGAACAGAGTTTTAGGTTATTATTTGCCTGTTGATTCAATCACTTCTATCAACCATGACAATTGAGAAAGTATAAAGAGAACTTGCATTAGAGACACATTGGGCTGATTCCTCATTTTCTTGGGTTTTTTGCCCAGTTTTTTGCATATCATGTTATTAGACAGTATCCAATATAATTTCTGCTTAAGCAAGAGGTTTGCTTACAAATGTTTGTCCTTCCTGTTGAGCATTATGGTTTCATAAATACAGGAATAGAGACAGGAATGAGATGGAAACTCCCTATAAAGTTCCTATTTTAAACAGCATAGAGAAGAGGCATCAGAGACTCTCTCCCAGCCTTTTAGACTGAGGGAATGAGGTGATAAATTAGGGATGGACTAGATTTACAGATCACCAGGTCCATTCCTTTATCAGAATAATATTGCTTCTTAACAGCTCTCCAGATACTTTGTTATTTAGCACTTCTTTTGTTTTAATTGCTCCAAGACCTACATGATTCTCCATTGAACCACTTTGTTGCAAATGTAGCTGTGCCATGGAGCCACAGAACGAAATTATTTTAGCTCTCAATGGTGCTTTAAATATGTAGAGAGAATAAAACTGCAGTTTTTGTTGCAGTTTTTAAAGGAACTGTCTGTGAGTGGAAAAGCTCTTGAGTAAAATCACATTTCATGAGAGTGCATTTATATCAATGTAATTCCATGTTTTTTCCACTGGAATTTCAAAACAAAATGTTTTTTTCATTTTTTGTAGACATTAATGAATTTTTTCGGATACACTAGGGTTTGAAATTTTAATTAATTTCTACTATTTAAATAGTTACTAAAACACATGGTATATTTCACACTAAATAAGTATTCATCATAAGTAATAACAAATACATTGTTTTACATGAAATTTGCCATTATGAAAACTAAAGTATACAGCAAATTTAATTACTTGGACATGAAATTTCAGGGGTTTTGATTTGGAATGAAAATAAATAAGATGTCCCACAGGGCAGACATTTTCTTTTCTTTCATCTCCAGGCAAGTCTTGTAGTTTTTTTTTTTTTCCTATAGGACAGGGCTTCACAGGTGAAAATCTTCCCTGTCTCACACATTTTGCATTCTGCTGGGTTGGGATCTCAGCCTTCCGTGGCACTGACTGAGTCCTTTGGGTCTGAATCCTCAGCCCTGCACAGAAACTTTTCTCTGTGGCCCCTGAAAATTTTATTTGTCCTGTTACTGCTCTGCCTAACAGCACTGCTCCCAGTGAGTGCTGGTTTGGGCTGGTTAGGCATGATTTTAGATATCTGAGAGTTCTGTCATTATGATTTCTATTTGTTAAAATACTCTGTTTGCGTCCAACAGAGTTGGCAGAATTTTGTGCAACGAGGACATCCTAACAAAAATGAAGGAGACAAGGAGAAATTCCAAATTTCTGGAAGCTGACTTTTCTGACTGGCTTTTTTTCATGCAAGATTAATCCTATTAATAGTCTTTTCAAAAATGAAATATTCAGAATGTATTAGAAGTACTGTCAGCAGAGGATTTTCAAAGGATTTGCTGTATTTGTTATGATCCAGAAAAACAGAGGGAGGAGGGAAAAAAACTTCTTAAAGTACTTACATGTGGACTGTGAAATGACACAGATAAACATTTAGGTAAATTCAGACTTTTCTGAGCCTAATGAGGCTGAGGTAATGAACAGAGATTTGCATTATAGAGGCAAGCCTGTGAATTGCAGCCCAAGAAAAGCTCATTTTATCTGCCCAAGCTGTTCCTCCAGCAATAGCCTGGGAAATAGGAACCCCTAGAGGTTAAAGATTTAAGAATCATTTGCAAAACGTTTCCTTTTTCCACTGATCATCTGTGCATATGACCAAGTATTATAAAAAGAAAATTTCATTACTTATGCATTTTAATAATCAGTATAATAATATTTCTTGATCCTTAAAAAAGGGGGTTTTACGCTCCATATGCATTTGAATATCTAAAGGATGATTTTTACATGAAGAATTCAGTTAAGCTATAAATGCTGCATGTTTTGACTTTTTATTAAATGAGTTTCTTCTCTCCAGCCTTATAATGCCTTCTTTGCTGCAGTAAAGTGGATTATGACTGAACTTGTCTTGTAAGTAGATTTCATCAAGAATCTAAAATATTTCTGTCAATTGCTAAATATTTCTACTTTTGAATATTAATATTTGTACCTTTCGCATTTTACATGCATTATGCTACTTTTCTTGGATGATTTTAAATATATTAATATTTGTCAATCGTTTTTTTCAATTTTGCATTTTTGAAATCTGAGAGAATTTTGGCTGTATTATGTGCACTTTCACTTTTATTACACTCATGGTCTTCCCTTATATCTGCATGGCTTTGTTTAGCAGATCACAATACACAACCCAAATTTCTTTCTGTGGTTACTGTTCAATTTTAGATCCGTGTTTGTGATGCTGCTTGGGTGGGCTGCTGTCAGAGCAGGAACTTGTTACCCTGACTCACTGTATGGTTTGTCACTTCATAAAATTCTGTAGGAAGGACCCATTACAGTGCCAGATAAGGTGCACTTGGATGCTGCTGAATTTTTCTATCTCCATTAATTCTTCTAAAATTCCCAGTTAATTCATAATGATCATTATCTTCAAGAGAAGATGCCTAAGAAATAGAAATATCACATGGAGAAGAGGAAGCCTTAAAATGCGTTGTGTTATTAAGCTATATGATTTATTATTCTTCTTGTCTGAAAGCAGAGCTGCAGATATGAGTGAATTTTATCTTTACTGACATAAAACTGATTTTTTCTTGTAATCATTTTGTTTAATTGTAAATTGTATGAGCTTTTTTCAAAGTTCAGAATAAAAGTTAAGGAGAATTAAATAAATGGCTGCTGCCAGAGGGCAGAGATTGATAAATGCAGCTTTCTAAGTGAATATAAGGGAAATAAATTGTGTTAAAATGAGACTGATGCTACATTTCACAGATTTGCAAATGTTAAGAAACTTTCTATGTTTATAAGTATTGTAAATTCACAGGCATATGATGAACTGAATGTTGGTTTCACATTCTTTACTTTACAAAAACTGATTGGCTGATACTTTTCAGTCCATTCTTCCAGGTAAATCATGGTGTATTTTAGTGTTCTTTGCAATTCCGTTAGAGTTCATTAGACAATGGTTACTCTTTTCTGCTCTTTGAAATAAAACAGCCCTATTATTTCAATTTGAGAATTAATAAAAGAAACTATTTTGTGTGTGCTCTTGTGTGGTAGCCAGGATAGTTATAATCTCATGGCATTTTGCTAGAGTTAAAATACCCACATGATGAAGAAATAATGTTCAACAGCAAAAATAGAGTGTGCTGCCATGCTTTGAGAGTTTTAATGAACATTCCATATACAATCAATATTTTAAATTAAAAATGGGTAAATCTATGATTTATTGATGGGGTTAATTTCAGAACAAGTTTTCAGAAGTAAAAAAATAACCCAGTAAAAATATGAGAATAGGAGTAGGTGCTAATCCCAGAGTTATGCCAGTAACTTGAATTTCAGTTCTGTGTTAGCTTTTATTTAAAATAGGATTAATGTTATCAAGCTACTGCCAGTTTAGTATTTGGAAAACATTCTGTGGGGTAATGTGAAAACTCTAATCATTTCTCCAGGTTCCTTGTGGAATTTAATCTATGCAGTTGGTGGCACTCTGATCTAACAGCTAAAGGTAAGTGTGATTTTTTTTCCCTAGAATAATGGCAGAAATGTCTAGAGTAATTAGGACTTTTGAAATTCAGATGTGTGTACACTGTTTTAGATTAAATAATAAACATCTGATAACAGTTTTCCTCCCATGCCAGCATTCTCTTCTTTGTTAATGTTTCCTAAAACACAAGAGAATTAAGATCTTCTGTGAATAACCAGTAAGTGCTGGTGTGCACTCTAGGAACACAGTACACTACTATGACAGAAAAGTTAAAATAGTAGATGATGATTAAATATGTTTTTTAAAAACATTTCTCTTCATTCAAAAACAATCTTTGTGAATAAAGTAATTACACTGTTTTAGTTGTACAACTTTTTTTCTTTTTTCCTAGAGCTGCCATAAAATGTAGTGGAGTTATTGTCCTGGAAAATGCCATTTCAAAAAAGTGTACAGAAATATGACCATCTCTATTATTTCATACAAAAATAATTTTTAAAGCTTAAGATAGTAGATTTTATACTAAAAAAGGCTGATCTGTATTTTGTTTTATTATTCCATTCAAAAATAGACATTAAAATGTATTAAAATTCAATTTATTCAAAATATTTTTTTAAAATGCAGAAGCTTCATTTGAAATAATGACAATTTTTAATAGTTCCACTAAGAATGGGAAGTTTTCAGTGTAAGCTGTCTTTCTGTGTTTTGCCAGACTTTCTGTGGCATTTTTAGAAATGTTTCTCAAAAGTAAAGGGCCACTTTACAAGAGCAGTGCTCTTCAAGTGACAATTTAATAGGCAAATTGTGCTGTGTGTCATTGACTGGTGTAAGAATTTAAACTGAATTCTTCAGCTTCATATTTGCATATTTCTTAGCAAAGCAGGGGATAAAATTGCTGCTTTAGGCTTCATTTCATATTTGCATTGCCTGGATACTAGGCTGTCTTTATGCCAAAATAATATCCTGTCTGAAGATAAAATATCAGTCAGGCCCCTAAAACCAAGACCAACTGTTCAGTGATTTCCCTAAGCATGAAGAGAACCATCCCTACCACTGAGGCTGTGAAGGACAGCCAGGTTTGCTGTGCAGACCCAGAAAATGCAAAACCCTTCCTTGAGGAGTGGCAGCCGTGCCTGTCCTAGTCCTTGGTGCTTGCAGAGCAGCCACAGCAGCCAGTGTAGGAAATATATATTTTTTTTTCCAATGCACAAATATGTTTTAATATAGCCTGACATGAAACATCCAGTGGAACTTGCATTGTACGCTAGAGAAAATATCTTTCAAACACAACATCCCTCTTCAGCTCATGAAAATGGATGTCTGAGTTTGTGTTTTGAGAGTGCACTCGTTACAGAAGAGGCAATAATAACTTCCAAACTTTCTTTTATTTAAAACAAAACTATCAGTGCAGCACTTTGATGGACCAGTATTATTGAGAAATTTCCATTCATGGTTAGTTGACAGTGAAGTTTTAATTTCACAAGTCACTTGCTCCACTTCTTTGATGAGTTAGGAGTATTGGAAATACCCCCTCAAGATGCTCATTGGCATCTCAGTATTTTTACAGTAGTGCTTGCCCAGCTCATATCTGGTTAGATAGCAAGGGATGGTTGTTTGGAAGCAGCATATTTTAGGAAGAAAAAGCAGAAGGTATTTCACAAGAGAGCAGAAGAGAAAAGCAAATGCTTAGGTATTGTCTTCTGTAATGCTATGTTACCACACAGAGTTGTCATATTTATGACTGCACTTTGTGAAATTAAAATTAATAAACTTGCACATTTAATTTTTACTTAAGAACATTTACCAAAGCTCAGGGAAAAAAAAAAAAAAACCAAACAAAAAAAACCCATTAATTTCTCGAATTTCTCGAGTGGAGAAATTGCTTCCCACTGAAACTGTGACATTAATAGAATGTGATGTACTGTGGAGATGCTGGAGGGTCCACACACACCTGCTTCTTTGCCAAACCCTGCTTTGGAAAATACTTCTGCACAAGATCTTGTAATTGCAATCACATTTGTAAATGAGAGAGAAGAACCCCTAAACCTTGGACAACCCCATCATCTTCTGGACTCTAGTGAGGTGCAGGAAATGTGAGACCAGTGAATCTTTTCAGCCTCTTGGATACACAAACCATATGCTGATACAAGTGAGGGTAGACTCAAAACACAGGTGATAAACTCCAGTCATTCCTGACAACAGATAAGGAAAACAGAAGAGAAAGGGAAGAGGTGCAGTAGAGCTAGTAAGACAATTTTCTAAAAAATACTGAACTATTAAACTTCTCACAACCACAGTGAAAACATCAGAGATAACAAAGCTTTTCTGACCAGCTTTAGTACCTCCTTTGAGATCTGTGCATTTGATGGAATAATTTTGGGGGTTTTATCACATACAACAAGTGTGAACAGTTCAGAAATGCCTGCCCTGGTGTGATTGGAAATGCAGATGTGGTGGCTCCCCTGGCACTGCTCAGTGGATGCACCACTCACTCAAACAGATCATCTCCAGGGAAGGTCTGTCAAGCCCAAGAGCCTGTTCTGTGTAATCTATTTTTGTCATACCTCATCTTGTTTTCCCACTTAGCAATTAGTTTAAGATAGGACTAACATTTGTGCTGATGTGCAAAGTGTATCTCTGTGTTAAGAAACAATGAAGGGGTGGAGAAGAAAAAGAAAGGGAATGAGGGAGAAACATTTTGTGTCAGATACTTCAGAATGAGAGCCAGAAGAGCAGCTGTCCTGTAGTTTGACCTTGAACCAGCCCCTCTGCTTCCTGGTAACTCAGTTTCCCAATCTGTAGGATGGAAATAGTGACACTTTTTCCTTGCATTGCAAAGACTTCAGATTAAAGGTGCTATGGAGTCTTAATTATTACTATTTTGGGAAGCAGATAACAAACATTGCTGTTGGGTAAAGTAACTCTTCTGCCTCTCCCACCCACAGAGTTATTTTAACTGATGAAACCCTACAAAGATTCCCCAGCTGTAATATAAAATACGTGTTTTGGCTTCAGTAAAATATACCACAATTTACATACCAAATAAATGTAAACTCCCATGAATAAAGGTTAGTGATGCACAGCACCACTGAGATAAAAGTGACAGTAAATCCATCTTGGATCTACACAGAAAGAATAAAAACTCATGCATAAATGTAAAGTAGGTTGGCAATGGCTAAACCATTAATAACTACTTTAACAGCGATATCTTGCAAAATTACATTCTGTGGATAAACTTTTTTTTTTAATTTAATTGAAAAAATAGCGTTATGCACTGCCTAGGAAATCTCACAGGGTGGCAGAAGCTGAGTAACATTTCCGTTCTCTGTGAGCTCTGTAACACAGCATCTCATGTTGTTCACAATTTTGTGTGCTGTTCTTCTCATGTTAACATCAAGATGTTTTTTCCTGTGCCTATAGCTCAGAGGTTGAAGCAGACCCTGGAGCCCTGTGACACAGAGTACCCAGCCTTTGTTTCCGAGCGCACCATAAAGGAGACCACGGGGAACATTGCTTGCGATGACTGTTTCAAGTAAGCCCTTTCCATTTTTTTTTTTTTAATTTTTTTTAATGCAACTGTTTGTGACAAAGCAATAAAACTGAATTATTTGAGGCTGTGTGGAAGAATGTACGAGTCTGTTGTGTTTTATCCTGGGTACTGACCTCTGTCAAGGTGTCATTTCTCCTCTTACAGGGGTCACTTAAAACTTTGATGCTCTTAAATTAAAGCCGTGCCTATTGCTTTCTACCAAAAAAATGTCAAAGTGGTAGAGGCTTATGTTAATTTCAAATAGTGAATGTTTTAATTATTTTCCTAAACACAGGCAGCAGCAGCATTCTAGGGGCATAGGCTGTAAGACTTAGATTCAAAGGTAAGTGCTGTTCAGTCTCCTGTCCAGGAGTGAAACCCTGCTGGATAGGTCAGGAATTCCCTTGTGGTACAGTGAGATCTGGTTGTTTTACTGGAATGCCAAACAGATTTTCCTTCTTAGAACTGTTAGTCTGAAAGAGTGGGAGATGATTAAATCTATTCTCCAAACTTCCAGTGCTGGGAAGCTGAGTTAATAACAAATCTCACATGACAGTGCTGTAATGTCATTTCTACCAGTGCTCCTGTAAACTTGTCCCTTATAGAGCAAAAAGAAGTGGAAGATTTCAGTCTAGCTTTCCTCTTTCACACTGAAAATGTATTTTCTCTGCATTTGCTGCCCATGTGCTATGACATTTTGACTGTAGTACTGGTACATTTTAATTGTGAAACTGCATAGGTATTGGTTATGCAAATTTCTGTACTTTGATAAGTCTCTTAATTGGATTTCCTTTATGCTGAGAGCTTGTCATCGCCAGGAGATTAGTATTTACAGCAATAATTTGTCTATCAATATAAACGTCAGGAAGAATTTATAAGTTAAACAAAAATTGTTACAGCTCTTCCTTTCCAGGCTAAATCAATATGCAATTAGCAAATAAAGGTGAAAACTTCACTTTGAAGTCAATAGGTGTGCTTCTGGACTTACTCCTAAATTTTCTCCGTGATATTTTCATTACTTTAAAACAGGAAACAGGAGTAAGTACACTGCAGATAAATTTTAAGTGCTAATATTCACTTTTCATTTGCTACTGACCAACTTTTAAGTAGAAGGAAATTGTTAATGTCTAGTATGAATAATTGGTTTTATATGGCTTTGTGGAATAGAAGTATGAGAGTGCTTTGTAAATTGATGCTCTGGAACCCTTTAAATGCAACAATGGGTCCCACTCCCTGAAAAGTACAAACTCAACAAAATCAAGCCGTGATTTTTCCACTTGACATATTGAATACAAAGAAGGTTACACTGCTGGGAGTGCTTTGTGCCAACATTGTAGAATTTAAGCAGCCTTATTTTGTGATAATTTAACAGAAAGTTACTGAGAAGTTCTGCAAATTATCATGCAGTCCTGGAGGTGTTCCAGGCCAGGTTGGATGGGGTTTTCAGCACCCTGGTCTAGTGCAAGATGTCCCTGCCATGGCAGGGGGGCTGGAACCAGATGGTTTTTAAGGTCCCTTCAAACCCTAACCGTTGAATGATTCTGTTTAAATATTGCAAACAGACATGATTCCATGCAAAGAAGATTAATTTAACAGGACTAGGTTTTCTCAAAGGAATGCAGATTTTAGTCTGCGTTCCTAGGTAACTTCAGGTCAAAGGAAATAAGTTTCAAAAATAATACAATTCTGCAATACTTGGAATGCACCAAGTTGGAAACTGAGTTTAGTGAAAATTATAGTATTTCAAAAATAATGCACTAAGATCTTTTTCATAGAAAAACATTTTGTGTTCCACAGTGGAAAAAAAAATAAAAGAAAACCCTGTAAGTTGCAAACTGATCTCAAGGCACCCATTATTTTTCTCCACAAGCAATGGCAAAACCTAAAGAAATAATCCAGAAGAGCTGTTAGATTCTCATGGGAAAGTTGTTCGTTATCCCGTTTACCCACTGTCATTAACAATCTACAAATTGCATCTAAGATTGCAGACTGCATTGGATTCCAAATATTTTTGTTATAACCCAGGACACTTTCCCGCAGAACAGCTCAGGAATTTGACCCAAAGTCCTTTGTAGACCTACATCTTCTGACCCAGTTTTCTGTTTCATAGCTTCAGTACCAATAAATATTTTTACAAGCAAGTGTATTGCTTAATATTTGTAATTTAAGAATGATGGGCCCAATCAGTCAGAATTCAGGTTCAATCTTTGATGCAGCAAGTCTGGAGCTGACACTGTGCTGGTGCTTAACCTGTGCAGCATCACTTTGAGCCAGTGGGATTCTTTTCTGTGTCCTCCTTAGATCATGTTATAGGTTAATCTGTGACACATAATTGCAAATATTTATTGCAAATAGAAGAAGATAATTGTAAATATTTACCTGATTATGCACCTTGTGGAATACTGAAAAACTACTTGAAAGTCAGTATATTGTGAAGAGGTTTGCAGACAAAAGTTGTGCAAATACTCTGCTTTAAGCAAGTTTGTGTCAAAAGATACCCCAGTCCCTGGCTTTTGTTCCTGCAGTGCCAGGCACTACTATAGAGCCCTTGTCTGAAAAAGGAGACTGAAAACAGTCTCTTAGTAGAAGTAAAAATGATGACTGATGTTAATTGAAACCATATAGTGTTACTCAGATAAGACATTTTGGGCACAAATACTGTGTTTTTGCTAACAAAGTCACAGTCATAGCCAGCAAGGTCACAGGGTGAGGGCAGAGGCTCAGTTTTATTCTGTTGTGGGTGTGCTGTTACTGATCTTGTGGAAATACTCTGTCCATGCACAGAGGGACAGTTACCAACTGCAGTAATGAAAATTCATAAACATTTCCAATCATAAATTTAATCATGGGCACTTGGATTTAAATTGAAATATGCTAAAATAAATCTCACAGTAGAAAGGACTACCTGCTAATTACTTTTTTAACAGCTGGCTCACATTTACAGCCATCTCTGGGAGCTCATTCAATGGAAGGACACCTATACACCTAAGCAGGCTTTGAGTCAGGCAATAAATATATACAGACATATAAAATGCACTCTCAATATGTAAACTTATCTCTTACAAGCAAACTACTTTGGGATAAATTGCAACGTTTAAAAACGATTTTCAAAAATATAGGTTTTATTAAGAAAGCAGGAGCCTAAAAGAAAATAAGAATTAACATAAGAATGTCATTAGGGTCAGGGTTTGGCTGTCCCACCCCATAATTTGTTGTTATTCAATATCCCAACGATTATTAAATTAATCTGTTATTTAAACAGCAATCAAAAACAAGTCAACCCACATTTTCTAAGCACTGTCAACAAGAGAGAAAAACTGGGATTTTTTGAAAAATCTGAATTGGTTTCATATTTTCCAGTAAGCTATTCCTTTTTATTGCAAAAAACCTAATAAAAAACAAACCCCTTTACTTCTGAAAACTTATATCATAGGCTGTTCTATCACAGCCTCAATGTTGACAGTAATTAATTGCTAAAGAGAAATGTTTTTTCTTTATCAGTCTCAACTGGCATTTGTCCTGTGAGTCAGAACTACACTAATGACAGATGGACTTGGTATGGGCTTTAAAGGTGCTGTGCTGCTCAAAGATGAGTTTCTGATTAGACATCAAAAGTTTTAGACGTTATATGTCTCAGTGCTGCCTGTAGTTTTATAAAGTATTGTCCCAATATTCTAGCCAATTTTAAATATAAGTGTGCAAACCAATGTTCTTCAGCAATGCTCACTGGGTACCTCACCAATTTTTGCCTTCTGGGAATATCATCATAACAAATTTTAGTTGCAGTAAAAGTGTCTAAGAAAAGAATCCTTAGAATGTCGAAGTCCTTATAAAATAGAATTGATGATGGCTATTAAGACATTTGATTAGAAAATGTTTGCCAGTCTTTTTAGTATATTCTCCCATGTCTTTGTAGAACAAACAAAAATGGTTTTGTCTAATTGCAAACCTCATTTATGCATGAAAATTCAAATGTTTTTATTTAGCTTCATTTTGGAAAATACCATTAATTTCAGCTATAACTGCTATGAAGGTGAGTAAAGCAATTTAGTCATCTGACTATTTGTACTTTAATGTTAAAGTTTCTAAGTTGCAAGGAGCCAGTTGAGTGCATAGTTGCCAAATTTGTGTGTGCACTGTAAAAACTGTGGGTATACAGATTAGGCAGCAGTTGCACAGTCAAATGCTTAAAAATTTGCCCTTTTAACCTCTCCTGTTGATGTGTGATGACATATTGGACTTGGATGAAGATCAAAAATCTGGCCTTACTTCCAAAAAATCCCCCTTCACTTTTAATTGCAGCACTCATGGGTCTACAAGGTCAATACCAAAACCCCAAAGAAACTGTTTTGTTTCCAGTTGATCCTTTGTTCACAATCTTAAGACAAAGAGGAAAGTAAATATAAGAATGCCATATTGTCACTAGGGAAGCAAGGAAGCATTTAGGTAAAATCATCCCAACCCTGGGAAAGATTTATGCATATTTTAATTATGCCAAATATAAAAGATGAATGCATGTACTTTATCTTGTTGGGCATAACTTGTAAATTGCCTGTTAAAATGTATAGGAACTACTTAATTGATTAAACACTGTCCCATCTATCATCTATTTGTTCCAATAGAATGTTAGTAAGCAGACATAAAGTTAACAAGGAAAACTGTCAAGAAACCAAATTGTTTCTCTTGCTTTCTCATAGACTGGGCATTGAATGTCATTTATTGTCAAAAAAAGAGGTAAATGGCAATGGAAGTGTAGTTCAGGATGACACTGAACCCTTCATGTGGATTTATAATGGCAAATTTCAGACTTGTCCACTAAATGCACAGATTTGGCAGTAACAGATAAATAACAACACAAATTAGATGCAGACTGCTCAGGGCATGAGTCTATTAGTGTCAGGAGCAGTGCAATCTGCAGACATTAAAATGGAAATGGTTTTTAAAACCCACTTAATCTCGAGGCATACCACCATTTGCTAAAATATTTCCGCATTTCTTTCTCA